ATGCAAGGCGAGCGGGTTTTGATGCAAGGCGAGCGGGTTTTGATACAAGGCGAGCGGGTTTTGATACAAGGCGAGCGGGTTTTGATACAAGGCGAGCGTGTTTTGATACAAGGCGAGCGTGTTTTGATACAAGGCGAGCGTGTTTTGATACAAGGCGAGCGGGTTTTGATACAAGGCGAGCGGGTTTTGATACAAGGCGAGCGGGTTTTGATACAAGGCGAGCGTGTTTTGATACAAGGCGAGCGTGTTTTGATACAAGGCGAGCGGGTTTTGATACAAGGCGAGCGGGTTTTGATACAAGGCGAGCGGGTTTTGATACAAGGCGAGCGGGTTTTGATACAAGGCGAGCGGGTTTTGATACAAGGCGAGCGGGTTTTGATACAAGGCGAGCGGGTTTTGATACAAGGCGAGCGGGTTTTGATGCAAGGGGAGCGGGTTTTGATACAAGGCGAGCGGGTTTTGATGCAAGGCGAGCGGGTTTTGATACAAGGCGAGCGGGTTTTGATACAAGGCGAGCGGGTTTTGATACAAGGCGAGCGGGTTTTGATACAAGGCGAGCGGGTTTTGATACAAGGCGAGCGGGTTTTGATACAAGGCGAGCAGGTTTTGATGCAAGGCGAGCGGGTTTTGATACAAGGCGAGCGGGTTTTGATACAAGGCGAGCGGGTTTTGATACAAGGCGAGCGGGTTTTGATACAAGGCGAGCGGGTTTTGATACAAGGCGAGCGGGTTTTGATGCAAGGCGAGCGGGTTTTGATGCAAGGCGAGCGGGTTTTGATGCAAGGCGAGCGGGTTTTGATGCAAGGCGAGCGGGTTTTGATGCAAGGCGAGCGGGTTTTGATGCAAGGCGAGCGGGTTTTGATGCAAGGCGAGCGGGTTTTGATGCAAGGCGAGCGGGTTTTGATGCAAGCGAGCGGGTTTTGATACAAGGCGAGCGGGTTTTGCTACAAGGCGAGCGGGTTTTGATACAAGGCGAGCGGGTTTTGATACAAGGCGAGCGGGTTTTGATGCAAGGCGGACGGGTTTTGATGCAAGGCGAGCGGGTTTTGATACAAGGCGAGCGGGTTTTGATACAAGGCGAGCGGGTTTTGATGCAAGGCGAGCGGGTTTTGATGCAAGGCGAGCGGGTTTTGATGCAAGGCGAGCGGGTTTTGATGCAAGGCGAGCGGGTTTTGATACAAGGCGAGCGGGTTTTGATACAAGGCGAGCGGGTTTTGATACAAGGCGAGCGGGTTTTGATGCAAGGCGAGCGGGTTTTGATACAAGGCGAGCGGGTTTTGATACAAGGCGAGCGGGTTTTGATGCAAGGCGAGCGGGTTTTGATGCAAGGCGAGCGGGTTTTGATGCAAGGCGAGCGGGTTTTGATGCAAGGCGAGCGGGTTTTGATGCAAGGCGAGCGGGGTTTGATGCAAGGCGAGCGGGTTTTGATGCAAGGCGAGCGGGTTTTGATGCAAGGCGAGCGGGTTTTGATGCAAGGCGAGCGGGTTTTGATGCAAGGCGAGCGGGTTTTGATGCAAGGCGAGCGGGTTTTGATGCAAGGCGAGCGGGTTTTGATACAAGGCGAGCGGGTTTTGATGCAAGGCGAGCGGGTTTTGATGCAAGGCGAGCGGGTTTTGATGCAAGGCGAGCGGGTTTTGATGCAAGGCGAGCGGGTTTTGATGCAAGGCGAGCGGGTTTTGATGCAAGGCGAGCGGGTTTTGATGCAAGGCGAGCGGGTTTTGATGCAAGGCGAGCGGGTTTTGATGCAAGGCGAGCGGGTTTTGATGCAAGGCGAGCGGGTTTTGATGCAAGGCGAGCGGGTTTTGATGCAAGGCGAGCGGGTTTTGATGCAAGGCGAGCGGGTTTTGATACAAGGCGAGCGGGTTTTGATACAAGGCGAGCGGGTTTTGATACAAGGCGAGCGGGTTTTGATACAAGGCGAGCGGGTTTTGATACAAGGCGAGCGTGTTTTGATACAAGGCGAGCGGGTTTTGATGCAAGGCGAGCGGGTTTTGATGCAAGGCGAGCGGGTTTTGATACAAGGCGAGCGGGTTTTGATACAAGGCGAGCGGGTTTTGATACAAGGCGAGCGGGTTTTGATGCAAGGCGAGCGGGTTTTGATACAAGGGGAGCGGGTTTTGATACAAGGGGAGCGGGTTTTGATACAAGGCGAGCGGGTTTTGATGCAAGGCGAGCGGGTTTTGATACAAGGCGAGCGGGTTTTGATACAAGGCGAGCGGGTTTTGATACAAGGCGAGCGGGTTTTGATACAAGGCGAGCGGGTTTTGATACAAGGCGAGCGGGTTTTGATACAAGGCGAGCGGGTTTTGATACAAGGCGAGCGGGTTTTGATACAAGGCGAGCGGGTTTTGATACAAGGCGAGCGGGTTTTGATACAAGGCGAGCGGGTTTTGATACAAGGCGAGCGGGTTTTGATACAAGGCGAGCGGGTTTTGATACAAGGCGAGCGGGTTTTGATACAAGGCGAGCGGGTTTTGATACAAGGCGAGCGGGTTTTGATACAAGGCGAGCGGGTTTTGATGCAAGGCGAGCGGGTTTTGATGCAAGGCGAGCGGGTTTTGATGCAAGGCGAGCGGGTTTTGATGCAAGGCGAGCGGGTTTTGATGCAAGGCGAGCGGGTTTTGATGCAAGGCGAGCGGGTTTTGATGCAAGGCGAGCGGGTTTTGATACAAGGCGAGCGGGTTTTGATCCAAGGCGAGCGGGTTTTGATACAAGGCGAGCGGGTTTTGATCCAAGGCGAGCGGGTTTTGATCCAAGGCGAGCGGGTTTTGATGCAAGGCGGACGGGTTTTGATGCAAGGCGAGCGGGTTTTGATACAAGGCGAGCGGGTTTTGATACAAGGCGAGCGGGTTTTGATGCAAGGCGAGCGGGTTTTGATGCAAGGCGAGCGGGTTTTGATGCAAGGCGAGCGGGTTTTGATACAAGGCGAGCGGGTTTTGATACAAGGCGAGCGGGTTTTGATGCAAGGCGAGCGGGTTTTGATGCAAGGCGAGCGGGTTTTGATGCAAGGCGAGCGGGTTTTGATGCAAGGCGAGCGGGTTTTGATGCAAGGCGAGCGGGTTTTGATGCAAGGCGAGCGGGTTTTGATGCAAGGCGAGCGGGTTTTGATGCAAGGCGAGCGGGTTTTGATGCAAGGCGAGCGGGTTTTGATGCAAGGCGAGCGGGTTTTGATGCAAGGCGAGCGGGTTTTGATGCAAGGCGAGCGGGTTTTGATGCAAGGCGAGCGGGTTTTGATGCAAGGCGAGCGGGTTTTGATGCAAGGCGAGCGGGTTTTGATGCAAGGCGAGCGGGTTTTGATGCAAGGCGAGCGGGTTTTGATGCAAGGCGAGCGGGTTTTGATGCAAGGCGAGCGGGTTTTGATGCAAGGCGAGCGGGTTTTGATGCAAGGCGAGCGGGTTTTGATGCAAGGCGAGCGGGTTTTGATGCAAGGCGAGCGGGTTTTGATACAAGGCGAGCGGGTTTTGATACAAGGCGAGCGGGTTTTGATACAAGGCGAGCGGGTTTTGATACAAGGCGAGCGGGTTTTGATACAAGGCGAGCGGGTTTTGATACAAGGCGAGCGTGTTTTGATACAAGGCGAGCGGGTTTTGATGCAAGGCGAGCGGGTTTTGATGCAAGGCGAGCGGGTTTTGATACAAGGCGAGCGGGTTTTGATACAAGGCGAGCGGGTTTTGATACAAGGCGAGCGGGTTTTGATGCAAGGCGAGCGGGTTTTGATACAAGGGGAGCGGGTTTTGATACAAGGGGAGCGGGTTTTGATACAAGGCGAGCGGGTTTTGATGCAAGGCGAGCGGGTTTTGATACAAGGCGAGCGGGTTTTGATACAAGGCGAGCGGGTTTTGATACAAGGCGAGCGGGTTTTGATACAAGGCGAGCGGGTTTTGATACAAGGCGAGCGGGTTTTGATACAAGGCGAGCGGGTTTTGATACAAGGCGAGCGGGTTTTGATACAAGGCGAGCGGGTTTTGATACAAGGCGAGCGGGTTTTGATACAAGGCGAGCGGGTTTTGATACAAGGCGAGCGGGTTTTGATACAAGGCGAGCGGGTTTTGATACAAGGCGAGCGGGTTTTGATACAAGGCGAGCGGGTTTTGATAGCAAGGCGAGCGGGTTTTGATGCAAGGCGAGCGGGTTTTGATGCAAGGCGAGCGGGTTTTGATGCAAGGCGAGCGGGTTTTGATGCAAGGCGAGCGGGTTTTGATGCAAGGCGAGCGGGTTTTGATGCAAGGCGAGCGGGTTTTGATACAAGGCGAGCGGGTTTTGATCCAAGGCGAGCGGGTTTTGATACAAGGCGAGCGGGTTTTGATCCAAGGCGAGCGGGTTTTGATCCAAGGCGAGCGGGTTTTGATGCAAGGCGAGCGGGTTTTGATGCAAGGCGACGGGTTTTGATGCAAGGCGAGCGGGTTTTGATACAAGGCGAGCGGGTTTTGATGCAAGGCGAGCGGGTTTTGATGCAAGGCGAGCGGGTTTTGATGCAAGGCGAGCGGGTTTTGATGCAAGGCGAGCGGGTTTTGATACAAGGCGAGCGGGTTTTGATGCAAGGCGAGCGGGTTTTGATGCAAGGCGAGCGGGTTTTGATGCAAGGCGAGCGGGTTTTGATGCAAGGCGAGCGGGTTTTGATGCAAGGCGAGCGGGTTTTGATGCAAGGCGAGCGGGTTTTGATGCAAGGCGAGCGGGTTTTGATGCAAGGCGAGCGGGTTTTGATGCAAGGCGAGCGGGTTTTGATGCAAGGCGAGCGGGTTTTGATGCAAGGCGAGCGGGTTTTGATGCAAGGCGAGCGGGTTTTGATGCAAGGCGAGCGGGTTTTGATACACTCATACCAGTGCATTAAAGGACAAGCCAAGCTGCCGATCCGCATAGGGGAGCGCAAAGCAGCTCTGGTGTATTCTAAGGTGACTTGAAATACATTGTCTCCTCTCCACTTCCCCCCTTTCCCCCTTTCCCCTTTCTCTTGTTCCCCCCATTTCTGCCTTTCCCCCCCTGTTGTGCCCCATTCACAGCCCATGCTCCAATCAGAACAGCAGCATGAGCTACAAGCAGTACCAATGCATCGACGGACAGGCCAAGCTGGCAATCCTGATAGGGGAGAACAGCCACGGCAATCATGCCATTGTCAACGCCACTTCTTCTGCCAGCCAGGCGTGCACAGAAGACACGTGAGTTCAACCAATGGTTTCTTTTCTTTCTTTCTTTCTTTCTTCCTTTCTTTTCTTTCTTTTTCTTTTTTCAAATAATAGGTGGGGGTGGGTGGGTGGGGAGGGGGGTTGCTCGCATGTGCTTGTCAAGATTCCTTCCCATTACATACATGTGACTTATGTTGACTGCTCTGCCTCCCTCTTCGACTCCACGTCCCCCTTGTCCATGTGTCTCTCTTCAAAACCTGAACTCTCTCTTGCCCTTCCACTCCCCCTCTGTACCCACTGCTTCTCCCACAGGCTTTATTCCCACCACGACTGCCACCACACCCTCCTCCACTCCCCATGCCTTCCCCTACTCTCTTGTCCATGTCTCACTCAAAGCTTGAATTCTCTTCCCTCCACTCCCCATGCTTCCATTGTTTCTCCCACAGGCCTTGTTCCACCACGACCGCCACCACACCCTCCTCCACTCCCCAGGCCTCCCCCTACTCCTCCGACCCTCTCACTCCCATGTCCACCTCCCCTCTGCCTTTCGCCCCCACTCGCACAACGGCCGGCAACATCGACCCTTTCTATGACCCCGCGTTCTACGCTCCCTTGTAGTTCTTGTCCTGCCAGCTTCTTCAACCAGGTTTCTACTAACATGTCTTTTCCAAGTCGGGAACAAATTTCGTGTGAAATAGACCAAGTCTAGATCTGTTGATAGAAGTTGCGCATTTTTTTTTCAAATATTGCATAGGATGGTGGCTTGTTGGACTAATCCTGATCATACTTGTTCGTGGATCATTGAGTTGGTTGATCTGGTTGAGATATTTTGGTTGAGCATATACACAATACTTCAAACAGAATCGATTTCGGCTCATTTATATGCATTCTCCTATACGTGGGTTTTCAGCCTGATACAGATTACAGCGCAGCATCTGGACGCTCTGCGGGGTTGTGTCAAGAATGCCACGCTGGCAATCTCTTTCTTGGCCTGATAGCTCTTTCTCCATGCAGCCCCCAGGTTTTGTGCTCTTAGCTCCATATCCATACCTCCTTTTTGGCTGACGTGTCGAAGTCTGACTGATCGAGCCCAGACGCACCATGCCCCAAGACCTGCGTGGATTTGGAGGGGCTTTCAGCCTTCACCGGTCAGCCACGGCGTCGGATGAGTGTAACCGTTCAGTCATACGATATTAAATCCTGGCCGTTGTTTTCTTTTCCTCACAAGCGGAGTCTAGACACCGCCCAACTTACCCATTTTCAGGTGGTTTTTGAAACTTGACGAACTACTTTTGCCGACTCGCCGTTTTAGGAACTCGATCAGGCGGTCGTTCTTCTGCAGCCTTTTCTTTGGCTTCAAATACTCCTGTCAGGTCCTTTCACCTAGGACTGATCTAGCCATAGAACATGGCTCTCCTTGCTCGCGCTTCCGCGATGGCCGTCGCAGAACTCGCAGTAGCCACGCGACTAACAGCGACATCGCCGTGCGAAAGCTTATCTAGCGTCGCCTCTTTCGCTCCGACTCGCTGGGTTGCCGCTACTTCCGCCTCGCGGCAACCACAAACGAGCCGGGCCACCCGATTGGTCGTCCGTGCAGAGACTGAGAGCAAGGGCTTGACCCGAGAGGGAGTGCTCCAGGTACTTGTTTACTGCTGAGTCGAACGGCGATGACTTCTTTATATATTTCTATTTTGGGTGCGTTTTGATCAAGTTTTAGTGTTCTGGTGCAATGTACCGAGTTTGCGTCATGGAGAAACAGGGACGGTCCTCTACTTGATGACGGTAGTTAGTGGGTATTTAGTGAGTCGTCTTTGTTGCTGATACTTTTTAGGCGAAGCTCGAGGCGGTTATTGCAGATTGTCAGTGTAACATCTCCGGTCGTTCTGCACAAGTGTCAATGTACCAGGCCGTCCAGTAGACAGGAGGCTCCAATTTCAAATGAGACCCATGCAGTCTCCGTTACTTACACAAATAGTCGTATATTTGTATGGCCTCTGATACGACATTGGGGGGCTACTTATCGACAATCCTGCCTCGTGTGGTAAATGGAGAGACAGAGGATGTAAAAGGAGAAGGGGGAGCAAAGAGGTAGGGTCCGGGGATACGGGGAAATGGAGGGTGGGAGTACGCCCTTCGTTGGACTAGCTACCGATTAGTTCCACCATGAGATATCCGAGATTTTGGAGCTGGTCTTTCCCCCCAGCCGCCTCGCTCGCTCTCCCCGCCTCGTCAGGTTCCCACAGAGTGACAACCTATGCCTGAGCGGTAACGGTTTCTTTCTCTTCTTCGTCTCATGCTTCCTTTCCTTCATCAAGGGCGACACAGGGCTGCGCTTTAGCGAGGTGAATTCCGAGGTGCCTCAAAAGTTACCTCGAGTTCGTCTCATGCCTCCGTTCCTTCATCAAGGGTGACACAGGGCTGAGTTCCAATGACCTTACCCCCCCCTCCTCCCCCCTCCCTCCTACCCCCTTCCCAGGCCCCCTCCCGCTTTTCCTTATTTCACCAAGTTGGCAGATCGCTGAGCTCCAAGACCCGCCGCGTGCGCATCCATGCAGTAGTTGACCCACAAACGCAGCACACAGGCCGGGCTCAGACTTTTTCTCTTTTCTCTTCTCTTCTATTTTTTCCATCCTCTCCTTTCTTCTCCAGGGTGGCAGATGGCTTAGCTCCAACACCCGCCACGTGCGCATCTACGTGGGGTACATCGACCCAGTGACCATGGAGATGGACCAGACGCAGGCGGACAAGCTGTCGCTGATGCTGGATACGGACAATGAGTTCCTGTGGACGCCCGAGACGGAGAAGAAGGTGTATGACAAGTTCACAGAGCTCGTGGAAGGCTATGCGGTGAGTGGGTGCTATGCGGTGAGTGGGTGCTGTGCAGTGAGTGGGTGCTATGCGGTGAGTGGGTGCTGTGCAGTGAGTGGGTGCTATGCGGTGAGTCGGTGCTATGCGGTGAGTGGGTGCTATGCGGTGAGCGGGCGCTATGCGGTGAGTGGTGCTATGCGGTGAGTGGTGCTATGTGGTGAGTGGTGCTGTGCGGTGAGTGGGTGTGGGAAGAGGTGATGGGTTAGGCAGACAAGCTGTCGCTGATGCTGGATATGGACAATGAGTTCCTGTGGACGCCCGAGACGGAGAAGAAGGTGTATGACAAGTTCACAGAGCTCGTGGAAGGCTATGCGGTGAGTGGGTGTGTGAAGGGGTGATGGTGCAGATGTTGAGAGCTGTCTTTGCTGCTGGACATGGAGAGTGGGTTTCTGGAGATGAGAAAATTAAAGAATGTGTATGACTGGTTCACAGAGCTCGTGGAAGGTGAGTCAGTCGGTCTGAGAGTGGGAATGTGGCCACTTTTGAGAATTCTTAAAAGTGAAGAAGGTGTATGACCGGTTCACAGAGCTCGTTGAAGGTGAGTCGGTCTGAGAGTGGGAATTTGGCACAGATAAGATCATGTGACAAATGTCGACATGTGTTTGGAAGAGTGTAACAGTGTATGTAGTGCTTGATGCGCTTGTGCAGATACTTACCAAAACAAAGGTGGAGGGAGTCAATAACAAAGTGGTTGTAAGTCCGCTTGTGGCAAATACTTGCCAAAAGCAATCCGTTTATGCCTCCCATATTCACTTTCCGGTATTCCTGATTTCGACTTGCAGGGTGCTGAGATGTCAGAGTACACGCTTCGTCTCATTGGCTCTGATTTGGAGCACTTCATCCGCAGTCTGCTGTTGGCTGGAGAGATCTCGTACAACTTGGACTGCCGGGTGCTCAATTTCAGCATGGGCAAGCCACGCATGCCAGATCCTGCTGCTAAGTGAGCCTATGGCCATGAACTCACATCAGAACACCATTTTCAATGATAACTTGAATCCACACTCAAATGAAAATGCCCATTTAGTGTGTCTTTGCTTTCATTCTGAAGTGTGGTCAGATAGTTTTATGTATTCTTGTGGGGCTGTCAGACTACTTTTCTGGCAATAGCATTACCATGCGCGTGTGCATAACTAAGTACATATCATTAATGGATTTGTCTAAAGTATAGTATATGCAGGTGCGAGACATTATCAAGAGACTTTGCAGTCGAAACATTTCAACAATCCTTAGCAAACTTGATAACGACAAACTGACTACTATGCCAAACAGCTGGCTTCACGCGTCCCGTCCCCGACATGCGTTTTCTTACGAGAAGATGGGGTGTGGTGCGTGGCGAATAGGGTTGTCCTCGTCAGCCTTGGCGTGAGCGCCAACCGCCTTTTGAACGCGGGGCACCAGAAAGCCTTCTAGCATTGCTTTCACATTGGCCAACGTAGGCACATGCCTCGTGTAGAATTGCCAGCATGGAAGCATGATCACAGATGATTCGTTTATCTGGATTGCGCCACGGCAACAGCCTCCCCAAGTTCCCCTTGCACCGTCCCCCTTGCGACACTGGGTCTCGTCTCCCCCCATCCCACCCCTCCCTTCCCCCCTCAACTCAAATCTGCCAGCAAATGCGCACGCAATTCTGGGAAGATTTCTGCGCGATTACCGCGTCAGTCAACTTGACGTTATTGACGGAGAAATGTGCCCTCAGAAGTCCGTCAAATTGGCCACACATCCCTTAGCCACCATGCCGCCAACTTCCTCACCACCCTGTTTCGCACATGCGGGTCTGTCTCTCCTCCACTCCCGACATCCCTTGACCCCCTTCAACCAATCAGAGCCATCTTCACTCCAATCTTCTCCAACCTCGCCTGCCCTTCCGTTTCGTTCCGCTCCCTCAGCCCCTTCCCCGTCCCCCCAGCTCTCGGGATTTTCTTTCTCCGTTCCATTCCAGACACAGTACCCCCCCACCCAAACCAACCACCACAGTCCGTCAGCTGCGCCAATCCGCAAAATCCCCTTCCGCCTTTGCGTTGCGCTTGCACGCTCTAGAAGCATCCCCCTTCCGCCTACAGTTTCTTTGGACTAGTGAGGCGCCATGGAGGCTACTGTATTTGGGTTCGCCACATCCATTTTGTGCTTCTGTTAGCACTACACAGTCTAGCGCTCCTCATCGTTTTGCCACCAGTCCAATTCTTCTACATCGACTGGCTGCAACTTCAACGCTCCACATCTTGCGTGACTGCCGTATATCGGTTCTGGTGACTGGTAGTCTCCGTCATATTTTCTTGAATTGGAACTTACCATGTTCTCACAACCGTCCACGCTTCCCAGTCACGTCGCTTTGGGCATTGCCGCTGCTAAGGAGCGTCCGTCTTCCGTCCGAATTGACCACCATCACGGAGCGGATTTGCTGGGATCAAGCCATCTCAGCTCCGTCGCTCACGCCGGTGATGATTTGACGGAGGACGACGTCTGGTCAGTCAACGACACTGACAGCCTGTCAACTGACGGAATTGTCAAGGTTCCGTCTCACGACCAGATTCTACCGTCCATTCGCCTGACAAACCGAGCTCGGCTGGACCCACTCACTGCTTCATCTGGCCGGTTTTCCAGTCAAGCGCATGGGTTAGCTGTCCTTTCGTCAGATACCCTAACCGCAGGACAGGTACCCATTGGCGGTGATATTGTTAAACCAAGCGCGTTGGCTCCGGTGGTCATTCCGTCGATTCAAACCCATCTGGACCACTTCAATTCGAGACATTCTCAAGGTCATCACCGTGCATCCGCTCCGGTCAACGTTCCGGACTGGAGTAAAATAACAGGAACTGCCAACCGGCGGCCTCGCCGGCCGTTTGACGAGTATGACGATGACGCGGATAACATCATGGTTCCCCCGCACGAGATGATCGCGAAGGACACGTCATCATCCATGTGCTTCTCGGTCCACGAGGGTCTTGGCGGAACGCTGAGAGGAAGGGACCTGGATAGGCTCCGGACAGCCATTCTTCAAAAGACGGGTTTTTATGAATAAGGCGGGAGGGCCCGGCGGAAGGGTCTCCATACTCCATTCAAGCAAACTGACTCGGCAGTACGGAGGCTTTGGCCGTGCGCCGCTGGCACTTCACAAATGAAAGCTTCACTCTTCGTTGTACCGTATTTAAAGCTGGGGGAGCTGGCTCTCCTGGAACAGATACCGTACCTGTTGTTGAAAGCTTATGGACGCCTGTGCCTAAGAGCGTCTTATACTGGATTGTGCTGTGAGCATTTGAGCTCTGCATTGTGATGTTTCCAATTTTGCTATCCTGGAGTTGCAATGCATAGGACTGAAACGTTTCTAACCTTTTCCAAGTAACAGGTGTGCAAGATATGTTTCAGTTCCCCCAACCTGCTATCAGTTGAAGCAGTAATTTCTGGCTCAGTGGACAACTGCTTGTGGAGCTGCAAGTGAATGTTCCTCATTTTTATACATCATTCAGTCATTACTTTCGAGAAATCCCCAAGGGAATCGAAATAGACCATCCATGCCTTTCCCGTGGCCACCACTAATCATAAAATGCATTCATCAATACAACTACGCTGTTAATTTATTCCCTACTACCCCAAAACTGCTCCTACGTACCCAAAATCACATATACAGTACTGCTCCACCTGTCCCGTCTTATCAGCACTGGCGAGGAATATACCTGAAACCCTTCGTCAGAGCGGCTTATCAGAGCACCGTGTGGGGGTCATCCGCTCCGCCCGCGTAGAAGCTCAGGTCAAAGAACGGGTCTGTGGAGGAAAAGGCCGACTCGATGTCGACAAGAGGCGCGATGGAGAGGGGCGGGAGAGCAGCAGAAGTGATGCTGGAGCAACCACTGTGGATCGAAGGGGGGATAGAGATGGGTGAGGTGGAGATGGAAAAGGCTGAGTCGGTGTTGGCAAGAAGCAAGATGGAGAGGGGAGAGAGATACTGTGATGGTACCTCTCTGTGGATTGGGCGAAACAGAAGAAACGATTTTTTTGTCAAGCTGTGTCATCTCATCACACACGGATTCTTTAGCAGACTAATGGGGAAAAAAGAAGAAGAAAAAATAGAGGCTCATTGCCCGAACCAACACTCACGAGTCTGAGGAGCACGAGGTGCTGACGCCTTGATTCAAGTCCATCACAACCGCTGCTTTGCCGCTGCTGCTCGCCCCGATATCTAGCCTCAGCCTCGACTTCCCCTCCCCGCACGCGTACTCCTTATAAACCTTCATCTTGTTAGCAGCAGAGCATGGCACTGTAGGCACGTCAGCCCGCCACTTGCTGCTCGAATTCGGGGAGTCTATAACCACGCGAACGCTCCCAGTGCACCCCTGCCAGTCGAACACGTTCAGCTGCATTTTACTCGGGTAAAACTCGCTGTTGGTGTCAGCGGCAATGATCTGTATCCGGTACGTGTACCCGGCTAGAAGCGAGGCGGTGAGAAACCGCCTCTTGCTGCTCGCAGCCTTGCGTTTGGGGTCGTCGTTGTCGGTTCCGTAGGCGTGAAAGAAGGTGCCGTCGTCCATTCGCGTGATCTTCAGGTAAGAGTACGGCCTGAGAACGCCCCCCCTGCTGGTAGCTCCGTACTCGTCATACTCCAGCCCGACCGTCCGGTAGCAGACGGAGGTGCAGGAATAGGCCGAAAAGGCGCTCTTGAAGTCGCACTTTGCAGACCGGACCGAGGAGGGCGGCAGGATGGGGTCGTAGTTGGCAACGGCATAGCCTGACTGGCCGAGCAGGGACCCATCGACGTCCCGGAGGGCGTAGAAGCGCGCCACCAGACCCCCCCGAGGTGGTGTGCCTGAGGACTGGAAGAAATTATAACACGGAAAAAAAAAAATGTTCGTATTAGGGCAAGGTACAGAAATGCCATGCTCACAAAACAAGAGGGGAGAAGAAAAAAAAAACATTTTTCAGGGTTTAGGGAAGAAGAGATCGAAATCGTAACCATAACAAAACGCATCAAACACTGGACGAAACAGTGCCAGGTTTAGTGTGACTCACTGGATTCGGTGTGGCCCAGAACTTGTTGGTGCCTGAGCTAAAGGATAGGCCCTGTGTGAATGGAATGGGAGATTCAGAGTGAACGAGGGACAGCAAAGAAAAGATATGATGCTGCGGATTGCTTGCATGTTGACTTTTGAGTGGACTCAAAGCCCTCTTTAAAAAAAGAAAGAGAAGGAAAAGCATGACACTGCGGATTGCTTGCATGTTGACTTTTGAGTCGACTCAAAGCCCTCACTAAAAAAAGAAAGAGAAGGAAAAGCATGACACTGCGGATTGCTTGCATGTTGACTTGTGAAGGCTAAACAGTCTCACTCACTGTTTAAAGCAGAACAAATGCAGAACAGCCCCGCTGCTCACAAACAGAAGCACCTACATGAACGTGACTGTAACGAGCGTACCTTAACGAACATGGCAGTGTTCCAGTATCCGCCTGCCTTATTGGCCACAAGAGCGATCCCAAAGCTGCTGCTGCTACACGAGCCAAAGCGGTGGAAGCTGGGGAAGGGGAAAAAGGTTAGGAGGGGAAAAGGAGGGAGGGAGGGTGGGAAGGTGGGAGGTAGGGAGGGAATTACAAATGCTAGAATTGCGGCAGCTGGATGTGCAGGCAGAAGCAGTGGAAGTTGGACAAGGGAGGGATGGGGGGTCAAGGGAGAGAGGCGGTGGAGGGAGACAAGAGAATTGGCAAACCTTAACTGGAACCGAAGCACACTATAACGAGTACTGCAGCACCTGATAAACGAGTACAGTCAAACTCACGAGGTGTCCTGGAGGTTGCTCTGACTCATGGTGTTCCCAGTCTTACTCTATAGCGAGTACCGCAGCACCTTATAACGAGTACAGTCAAACTCACGAGCTGTCCTGGATAGAGTTGGGGTAGAGGTGGTCCTGCGGGTTGCTCTGACTCAGCGCGATGCCAATCGGGGCGGAATAAGTCCCGGCTTGATCCTGCAGCGATGGCCCCATCGGATCAACCACCCCACTAGGTGCACCCTGGGCAGGAGCAGTCATCCCTGCATCCTCAAAAGCCTTATTGCCGCTGCTGGTGGTGCTTTTGCTGCCGCTGTCGCCGCTGCTACTGTCAGTGCTGCCATCGTCTGCATAAGGATCAAGAGGTCCCAGAGACGCCTGCAGAGTGAAAGGCTGCCACAGAGTGGTGGGACCTTGGGGAAGGGAGCTGTCTGGTGGGTTGGGAGGAGTAGTAGCAGCACCATCACCACCTGAGCTGCCATTGCCTGGAAGGGTAGAATTATCTGGAGCGTTGGGAGGTGTGGTAGCAGTGGTGTCATTTCCTGGAAGGGACTCGGGTGGTGGGGTGGTTGCGTCGGCAGCGCTGCTGTTGTCTGTGATGGTTCCGTCTGGTGGGATGGAGCCATCTGAACCGTTGGATGTTTCCTGGGTAGTGGCGGTGGTGGTGGCAAACGCTGTGGTTGTTGTTACGGCATTGGAGGACCTAGAGGGGAAGGGAGAGGAGGGAGAAGAGGGGACGCGAGAGGGGAAGAAGGAAAAGAGGGTGACAAGGATGAGATGGGAAGCGAGCAGGTACGTTTGATCTACACAGTGGCAAATGCAGTAGCAGGATTTTTTTTATTTTTATTTTTGGATTTACGAAGGAGGAACAGTCAATGCAGTAACAGACGGAATCCTACCCAAAAAAAAAAAAAAGGCGGGCAGCACGACTCATGAGCAGAAGGAGAGGAGGATCGGCCACTCGCGGGCAGCAGCAGGAGCACTCACGAGCAGGAGGAGGAGGAGCGGCCGATGAAGCGGCAGCCCTTTGCTTGCACGCCGGCATTGCGGCTCAAGTCGATGCCGATGCCATTGTCCAGAAACACCCCGTTCTCCACTATCAGCCGCTCGCTATTGAAAAAGAACATTCTGTGGCGGGGAAGAGGGGAAAGAAGGGAAAGAAGGGGATAAGTGAATGGGTGGGATGAAACACCCTGTTCTATTCTATCAGGCGCTCGATGTGAAGCAAACATGCTGCCGTGACGAAAGAGGATAGAAGGGGAAGGCGAGGGAAAGGGCAAGGAGGAGCGTGGGAGACGGTAGAAAGGGAGGGAGAGGAGGGAGTGACGGTATTGGTCAAGAGGCCTCCGTTCTAACCGTCGAAATAGATTTCTGTTCTCCATATCACAGATAGTGAGGCAGATATGGCCGATGAGATAGTGAAGCCAAATCGGATATGTGCAGGTTGGTGAGGAATCCAAAGAGGTCGGAGTGGGCTCTCTAGCATGTGAAGGACACTAGACATGGGTTGCTCACTCACCCTGCCTTGTTGCGGTAAACGAGGAAGTTCTTAAGGGAAACGCGGGGGTTCTTGGTGGGAGACGGGTAGTGCGGCCGTGACCCGTGCGGGTAGGTGCGGAAGCCGAAGAGGGCATTGGAGTGGGCGTGGTTGCCGTCCCACGTGCCCCAGTTGTAATAGAAGGGCACTGTTGAGCCAATGTTTGGTAGGAGCTTTGAGAGTCCCCTCATGTATGGGTTTGCCTCTAGCCAGAACCTGATAAGGGAACACACGCACGGACGCACACGCACGGACGGATGCACACACACACGCACGCACCCACGCACACCCCCCCCCCCCCCCCCCCACACACACACACACACAAAAGCGGAGAGGGGGGAGGGGGAGGGAGAGGAAGAAAGGGGAGCAGAGAGAGGGAAGGGGATCAGGGAGAGGGAAGGGGGAAAAGGAAGGGGATCGGAGAGGGCGCAACGGGAGCATGGATAGGAAATGGAGCACAGAGGTGTGTTTTGAGTCGACTCACAACACACATAGAGGAGGGAGGGGCAGGCAGAGGAGGCTGAAGGGTGTGGCGAGCTGGAAAATGGGAAGAGGGGCAGTGGAAAGGGAGAGGGCATCAAAGAGGGGGAGGGGAGGGGAACGGGAGGGGGCGGAAAGGGGAACGGGAGGGGGAGGGGTTGGGAGGGTTGGGGAGGGGCTGGGAAGGGAAGGGGAGCAGGGGAGGGGAGGCTCACCCAGAATCTTCTGAGCCGGCGGCAACATTGTTTATGAAGCTGCTGAAGGGCGTCGCGAGCCAGAAAGTTGTCGGCTGCTTGTCCGTTTGCAAATCCAACCGGCTGGAAGTTTGCGCCGGGATTACTTTGTCCACTTTCCGCGCATTGATCCCAAGGTTTCGCCGAAACACGTTTCGCATTTCGGACCCCTCCTCCAGCAGGTAGCAGTGGCCCTTCGTTTCGTACGAAACGTTCTCCTCTATGGTCATGTTACCCGTCGCGTGAATCACCATGCATCGCTGCTTCGTGAAAACGATTGCGTTTTTCCGCACAATGTGGTTCTGGCCCTTTTGCCCGCACACGTGGAAATGCAGAGGGTATTTACCCAGCACGCCCTGGTTTCCAAGAGCTCGAAACTGAACACCCACGATTTTTTGGGCTGTAGGCGTCATATAAACCATGAAGTTGCCACCTGGGAAAAGCGGGATTAGGTGGTAGAAAAAGGGAAGGGACCCGTACGGTCAGGGGTCAGTTACATAGCATTAGTTTGAAGAAGTGTTTTGAGACGTCTCAAAACGGTCAGGGTCAGTTCCACAGCATTAGCGTTTTATTGGGCTGTGGGCGTCATGTGAACCATGGAGTTGCCACCTGGGAAAAGCGAATTAGGCGGTGGAAACAGGCAACAAAACTAATGAATGGTCAGGACCAGACAAGCAATAAAGGTATTAAGAGTTGGTAACATCGACTTAGCGATTAGCGTAAGGGGAGCGACACGAGATATGGACTTCTCACCGTCGTATTGATGCGGAGCGGGCTCGTCACTCCCGGTGATCGCATTGTGCCGATCCAACAGCGCAACCTCTCCGAAAATCCCCACCCTCCCTCCCACCTTGTCTTTTGAGGCGCCTCAACTCACCGTCGTATTGATAGGGAGCGGGCTCGTCGCTGCCCGTGATCACGATGTGCCGATCCAACAGCGCGACTTCCCCGTAAATCCCCACCGTCCCTCCCACTCCGTCCGAAATCTTCACGCCGTCGTGCCGCTTCTTAAGCGCTGTCTTTAGATTGATTTTGTACCGCCCGTCGCTCTTTCCTGGTCCCGACGCAGGCGTAACGACCGACACGGACGTGATGACGTGGTGCTCCGCGTCGTTCAGATTTGCTGACGTGGACGCCAGCGCGACGGTCATCCCCTGCGCCCAGCGCGTCACGTCCGCGTTCACGTAGATCGCACGATCGCCCGCGTCCGCCGTTTCGGTGAGGCGCACCCACGACGGCGTGCTGCTGCCGCCCGGCATGCCGTAGAGAGCCACCTGCCCGCCCACCTGCGCAGGGGAAGGGGAAAGTTAAGGTGGGGGAAGGTGGGGAAAGGTGGGGAAAGGTGGAGGAGGGGGTGGAGGGGGTGAGTGGCTGTTGCAGTGGCGCACCCACAACGGCGTGTTGCCGCCGCCCGGCATGCCGTAGAGAGCCACCTGTCCGCCCACCTGCGCAGGGGAAGGGGAAGGGGGAAGGAGGGGGAGGGGGTGGAGGGGGTGAGAGGCTGTTCCTGCGAGGCGCACCCACGACGGCGTGTTACTGCCGCCTGGCATGCCGTAGAGAGCCACCTGTCCGCCCACCTGCGCGGACCAGGAGTGGAGGGGCGGCGGGGGAAGGGGGGGAAAAGGGGGGGTCGGTTGTGGGGATGGGTGAGGGGTTAGTGTTGAGAAATGGGGGGAGGGGGTTGAGAAATGGGGGGAGGGGGTTGAGAAATGGGGGGAGGGGGTTGAGAAATGGGGGGAGGGGTTTGAGAAATGCCGTACAGCTCCACCTGCCAGCCCATCTGCGCTAAGGGGAGGGGGAAAAGCGGAGGGAAGGGGAGGGGACGGGGGGGAGGAGGGAGGACGGGAGAGAAAGGGGGGAAGCTAAGGGCGGAGGGAAGAATGGAGGCCTATGAAACAGAACTGAAGAGTTTTTGACTTTTTGAGAATTCTCAAAAACTCCCTGCAAGGTACTTGAGTTGAGATTTTGAGATTGCAATAAATCTTTAGATTGTGATCATTTGGGGGTGCTTGTGCCGGTTTTGCGAGCCGACTCAGCAGCCACCCCGTTACTGTCACATTCGCACCGCGCCATTACCACTGCCGTTACTGTCACTACTCACCACGGCGAACGTCTTGTGCCCCAGATCTCGGGGGATTCCAAGATCCGACGGCTTGTAAAATGGGAGGACATACGACGCGCGCGGAGGCTGTTTAGGTGCCAGTATCAGTACTCCTCCTATTGCTAATCTTACCACTCCTTACTACGGCGAAAGTCTTGTGGCCCAGATCCCAGGGGTTGTTGGGATCGGAGGGCTTGTAAAACTGAAGGACGTACGACGCGCACTGCTGTTTGAAGTTCTGAAACAGCGTCGATACCCCTTGCTAGTTTTACCACTTCGTACCACTCCTCGCCACTCCTCGCCACTCCTCGCCACTCCTCGCCACTCCTCACCACTCCGTACCACTTCTTACCACGGCGAACGTCTTGTGGCCCAGATCCCGGGGGTTGTTAGGATCCGACGGCTTGTAAAACTGAAGGGCGTACGACGCGCGCGACTGCTTGAAATTCTGGAAGAGCATGAACGTGACGCGGTTCGAGAAGTGCTTATCCGGCTCGCCCGCCGTGAGGCGCCCGAACACCATTATGTACGCCGCGCGCACGTGGATTTTAGGGAGAGACGGGTCATCGGCTATCCTGCGAAGACGAGAGGAGAGCGGAGGAGACATGGGTTCACAAATGCGCGGCTGGGTTAGCCCGCCGAGCGTCGCTTCCCGCTTCGCGCTCGCATTCGGCGCGCCCACCGTCAGGCGCCTGAACACGAGAGATGAGGGGAGGGGGACGAGGGGCGATAGACGAGACTCCATCGGTTCCGCAACTTTTGCGACGCTTTTATATCGGGTACATCCAGCAGCAGAGTTTTGAGACGTCTCAAAGGTGATTTCTCACTTCAGCCAGCCTCTGATTCTCAGCTTTCCGACGCTTATATCGGGTACATCCAGCAGCACAGCCTTTCCGCACGGAATCATGACGTCAGCCCATCTGCGCGCCCCGGTACCGGGCACGCCGCGAACTTTCGCGGAAGCGCCCCACGTCCTCCAGTCGCTCCACCGCTTAAAGCCCCCCGCAGGCGGCTCGGTCATGATCTTTCCGCACGCGGGGCTGTACGCGTCGGTGACTTTGAACGCCGAGCCGCGGGTCGGCGACACGCGGCAGCATGCGAGGAGGAAGATGAGCGCCGATGCGGCGGGAAAGCGCGAAAACAATGGCGCGCCGCCGCGTTGTGATATCTTACCACCCATTGTTAATCCACTGAGCCCAGCAATATGTGCAAGCGGTTAACGGATGGAGCGGATAGTAAGCAAGCCAATGCCGTTCGCCAGGTCCTAGTTACCGTCTTATAGCCTTCGCATGAGTCGAGCAGCAGGAATGGAGTGTTCAAGAATGCATAGATGCATAGGTGCAGCTCCGAGCTGTCAAGAATGCTTGTAAGGGAGCACGATACTCTCAGTATGCGGAGTGTAGTGCTCAATTCTAGTATTAGTGGTGGTAGCGCCAGTTCAGGTAAGGATCCCGGTGGCGCTGCCTGTAATTGTGCGTCCGTCCACTAACAGTCGGGGTTCTCTCGGCGGTATTTCGCTTCGCAGTGCTTGATGAGATTCTGCTGCTCGCTACGGTTCGGGAACCGCCGCCCTTCGGTCTGTCCGTCCGTCCGTACACGAAACCTGTAAACCGTGGCGCGGCCCTGGATGGATTGTAGTGGGTGCTGCTGCGTGAGGTGAGGTGCAGGAAGTGCTATCAGCTAGTGGTTGCCATCACCATCAGGCATCGCCTCGCCCATCGCCTCACCACTGTCGCATCGCTGTCGCCATCGCCAGTGCAATCGCCATCGCACGCATCGCCAGTACCATCGCCATTCGCCATCGCCGCCGCCGTTCCTACGGCGCTGCAACTTAGCAACCAGAATCACTTCAAATGGCGGCTCGGATTTCTGAATCCTTCAAGAAAGCGAGCAGATTATGCGTCGGAGAATCCATCCGCCGTCCATCCGTGCACGGTTTGCAGATTCTTCTATTGCGGTGGATACAGAAGTTGCGTCGTTGGTCCAGGGTCAGGTCGGGTCGAGGTGGGTTGGGGTGGGAACGATTGGCGTCGCACGGCATTTTGGCTGGCGTGGCATCGCAAGACTTACGTGGCATTGCGTGGCTCGTTTGAGTCCCCATGCGTTGGCTGGGTGGGTTGGATTCTCGTCTACGTACAGCTCGCGAGAATCCACCCTACACACGACATCAAACATGACGCTGCTGACCGTACAAATGTCTTTCCTATCGTGGTCTGTACAGTTGGCGTCGGATGAGCAGGTGCGACTCGAGAGAGGCACAACTTGTAAAGTGTACTTCGTTCGAATACAGCGCAGCGAAGGCGACCGAGGAACAGAAGAAGGGGCAAGTGAGGGAGGGACGGGATGGGATGCAGGAGAGGAGGAAGAGACACTGTTGTAAGTTCATGTCCGTGGGGATGACATGTCAACATGGCAGTGTCAACACGAAGCGCGCGGAATTTAGAGTGTCAAACATTGTAGCCTCAGCGTCAAAACGAAGCGCAGCACAAAATCCTGCGACACAACCTTATTGGTTGGGCACGAATTTGTTGCAAGACCTTGCAGTCTTGAAAAACTTTACATCCACACGCGACTTCTTGCAAGACCTTGCAGTCGTACAGAACATTACATCCGTCGATTGGGCAGGTGTGGGTAGAAAGGATTCTCAATTCTACCAGTTAAGTTGGCTGGATGAAGGAACACGATTCGCAGAGCGGGATGTCCGACTAAATTTACTGGCTGGCAGCTTTCATGTCGTTGACACTCTGCCAACAGTGCTGGCAAGTGTCAAAACCAGAAGTTGACACTCACAAGCTTGACATGTCATCCTCACGGACATGACCTGAGAGGGGATACAGCAGGAGGCAGACGTACTGTGAGTGAGACAGGAAGCGAGAGAATGGCAGGAGATGTTGAGGGTAAATTCCTAGCTACTGATGATGGAGGCGGGCCTCACACATTTGCTGATGACCCAGAGGTTATTCCAAATAACAAAAACGTTCCTGTAAGCCATGCCTACATTGGCACTGCTCATACTGAAGTGTGGCCTGCCCACGAAATATTCCACCCGTAAACTCCAGGATTTGCAGAAAATTTCTCAGAATCTATGCCAGGACATCGCGAAAGTGTGAGGCCCGCAAAGTTGCGGAATATCAACTTCAAAGTTGCTTTTCCGCAACTTTGGTTTCGCAAGAAAAAAGTCTAGGTCAAAGGCTTCTGTGGCGGAGTGACTTTCGAAGTTGCATACAAATGACGACAAAGCGGCAAAAAAATGGCCATATTGCAACCACACGACACAACTAAAAGGTGACATCTGAAGTGACATTTGTCTGAAGGACTTAGGCTTTAAGTCCCTTTTGCCACCCCTTTGCCACGTGGACGCCAGAACGCCACGTATGTAGATATTTCCTGCCAGCTGTCAAGGTGAATAGTGCAGCGACAAATGCCACGTGGACCAATCAATTTTCAGGATGCATATTGGCGCATGCAATATAATTTGTAGAGACAGTTGAGTTCAGCATGTACATATAGAAATTTATGTTACTATAAGTACATTTTTATACAACACACCTGACAAAACGCCCTAATACCATAATCAACATGATCTGGCACAACTAAATAATCTAACTGCAGGTACTTCAACAGTATCAAAACATTTACGCCCTTTCAACCACTTGAGCCTGGAGTTCTGAAACACACGTAAAATCAGAAACACAATCCAAGACAGGGAGTAGTATCTGCAAAAACTGATGTTAGCCAGGCGAGAACAAATGTAGTAGTAGACATACCTGCGGCCTCTTACCTGTTTGCCGCAGTGGACTACGAATGCTTGTGCCGTTTGATAAGTCGACATGTTTACGAAATACATCGACATTAATACAAGGTCGCGCAAATGAGGAGCGCACCACAAGACGTTAAGAAAATACACATCTGCACACAAAGCGACATAATTCGACCAAGAGAGAACGCACTCCCAGCGTTGCCCTCCATTCCGTGCACAGCACGATACGTCATGAGTTAGGCAACAAAAAAAAAAAAGGAGAAACACGGTGTCGACGTACCGATAAAGGACCGTCTCAGTGACTCATTTACATCCGTTGTACGGTTGTAAAACGGCTACCGAGCTCCAGTTGAATTTGGACTTCAACCTGGACAATGGCACAAGGAGAAAAAAAAATGACGCAATAAGACTTTAGGTTAAAACGAGAATACTTAGGGAAGACGGATCTGATCGTGGCAGAAAAGATTGATACACAGAAGAGCAGCGCGCCTAGTAACTAGAGAAAAACGTTAAGTTTTGATAAGAAAATGAGACACAAAGCTAGGAGGAGGTACAAGAAGGGGTTGGTTGGGAGCACATTTCGAGAGGTTCTAGGTTCAGAGCTCTGACGTAGAGATGAGGAATCATGCTGATTGGTGGGCTCAGGTTTGTTTCCCACATCGAATGGTTCAGAACCACAAGATGTGGTTCTGATTCCTGAATTAGTAGAGTTTTGGTTGGCGACGTTACCACGAAATTCGGGAAACACAGTTGGCGTGTAACATTCGCGCTGCTTGTTGATTGGTCGTTTCAATTTCAGCTTGGAGAAATTTCGGTCACACAAGTAACATTTCGTCAGCTGTGCGAAATTGCCGCCAACCGGAACTCCCTAAACTGCACTGTAACGCTCTTTAACACGCGAGACACAAGTGGGTGTGCACATTTGAGGGGTGAAAGAGACATTTCCGTAGCTGTTTTGTTGCGCCATACAGGTGACATTCTCGCAACTTTCACCCTCGGTGTTTCTCCGAAGGTTTTCCGCAGCTTTTCCGCAAGAAAAGCTACTGTGTACATTTTGTGCCCACAAGAGATTTCGCGATGGAGGTGGGCATCTACGTACCCATCGAGACTTGAATTTCTACTAACCACCCAACCTAGCTGGATGGTGGGTGCAGTGGACCCTGAAATGGGTGTCTTCATGCGTTAAAACCCGAAGGCCACAGCTTTCAAGCTTAGGAAGGTTGGTTGGGTAATAAAATGCTATTGGCCCGCGAACCAGCACATCATCGAAATTGGAATGTCGAGTGTCGCTGACAACAAGAGTCTCGCCAGGGTTACCCTGCTTCACAAATGAGTCGTCCAAGAGAAAATTTGCGACCGTTTCCATCGCGCGAAGGTTGGATGGTCGTTCAGTACTCGATGCAATCCCTTCCCTGGATTACTCTTTCACGTAATAGGAGCACAAATTGTGCTTTACTAGGCCGATCAAGTCAGTATCTAGAAGAAGCTATTTGAACAACGTCAATCGGTGGAACGATACAACCAACACCCACTCACGCTAGATGAATGTTGTGTGAAAATGAGAACGAGGATGATGCACTAAGGAATGGAAGTGATACAAATATGGAACCCTAGAAATCTATACCCCATATGTGCTACCCCACTATAGCCTACAACAGCTATGTCATATATATCTGACACACCCCCATAGGCAAAGTGGGGGAGAACAAGGGGTCACAAGACCAGTCAAGCAAAGCAAAGCAAAGCAAGCTCAGGGTGGATCACAAAGTCACCACACAGTCCGAGCACAAGGTCAAGGCCACAAGGCCAGTTCACATGCAGGAGTGCACACACATATATATATAACACTAAACAAGCAAGAGCAGGTATATATATATGCAAGAGTACAAGTAAGATCAAGAGGTGAGCAAGTGAGGTAAGACAGGTACAAGTCCCAGCTGAGTGCAGAAGCGCTGATGATCACAAGGCGGAAGTGCCTTGGTGAAAACATCAGCAGTGTTGGCCTCAGAGGCCACGTACGCAAGTCGCAACTGACCACGCTGCTGCAACTCACGAGCAAGAAAGTAGCGGAGAGCAATGTGCTTCGTTCTGTGCTCCAGGCGCTGCTCTCGACACAAGGCCAGCATGGCCTTGTTGTCTACGTACAGCACTGGAGGAGAACGAGGCGGCTCTCCAAGGTCAGTCAGCAGGTAGGTGAGCCAGCGAAGCTCCTGAGCAGCCATGGCCCCGGCGTAGATCTCAGCCTCACAACTGGAGCCGAGAACAAAAGACGAGCGAGTAGCCCGCCACGAAACAGAGCCGGAACCAAGACTGAAGGTGTAACCCTGTGACAACCGCTGAGTAGCCTGGTCGTCAGCCCAAGAAGCGTCCGCGTGCCCAGTGAGGACCACTGGACTCCGCCCTCCAAGCACTAGCCCCAT